GATGTTTTATATATTGTAATGTAAAAGTTTTTAATTTCTACTGTCTGACCTTCGTTCCGGGCCAGATCGTGATAGAAAAACTTCGTATCAAAAATACCAAATATAAGAGAAGGTACAACAAACACTATAAAGAATGTTATTTTCAAGAAGGAGATCTAGTAATAGCTTACATTCTATGACAATGCTTCCCAGTTGGCACATTTGGCAAATTAAGCCGAAAAAAAGTTGATCCTTTCTGAATCCTTTGAAAATTGGGGACAAATGCTTATTTATTGGACCTCCCATCTTCTGTAGGAACTTCTCCTATGTTTAATGTTGCCAATCTTACTGCATATGATGGACAGCCGACTGATTCTGTGGATATAGAGACTTTGGCCCTTACTTCTCTAATCCAGATCAGTGGTGATCTTATCGATGATGTTATGGATATTTATACTACCCAGACAAGATATGTGATACACCGATGATTCTTGGTTATATGAAGTAGACTTCCTCTGACTATTCTTGGATTGAAGCTGAGGAGTTGAAGCTTCATCGTCCTGATATCTACCAGCGTATTACTAAGGCATTCTAATCATAAGATGAGATTCTTTCACCATAGAAGAATTGATGTACTCAAGAATTTATTTTTTTATGTATTTTTTATTTTTCGTGTGCTATGTATTTTATTTTTGTATTATCCTATGATGAAAAACAACCAAGAATCATGTTAGGTTTGGTGCTCTCAGGGTTGTTCATAACAATGACATTTAATTTTTATTGATCATGCTTCCTTGCTCCTTGTTGGCTGGTTGGGTATTTAGTTGTGGGCTTTTTTTTCTTTTTCCTTATTGGGCTTGGCCATTTTTCCATTGCTTTATGGTTGCTTGGGATTCTTCCCTCTCCCTTTTAGTTGTTCAGATTTCCTCTTGCTTTATATCTGTCTGGGAGTCTTCCCCTCCCCCTTTGGCTATTCGATTTTCCCCTTTTGTTGATTCCTATGCTTGATGCTTCGGCTTCTCCTTTGAGAGGTTATTTGGATTGCTTTTATTGGATGAATTTTTGGCTCATTTAATTGAACAATTAAATACTATTTCAACTCCTTTCCCTATATAGTGGCTGATTCTCTATTGTAAAAGGGAGTTTTTTTTGAGAAACTTTTCAACTTGAGGGTTCCTTCTTGGCTTGCGAGCTAGTATTCTCTCTATTTCCCACTACTACCTCTCGGTCTTCTTTCTACTTCTTCCCTCCACGGTTTCCCTTCAACCTGTATCTTTCTTCTCTAAACTTTGTGAGTTGTAAGGCGATGTTATTACCTTGTTATATTGGTATTTGCCTGAGGAGTATAGACTTGTGCCGGATCAATTTTCAGTGGTGGATTACTGGTTAGATCTTTTTTTAGCACTTTTACTTAGTTTAGTGCAATCATTAAAAAAGTCAACGAGGCATCCACATTGAGTCGCGCCTCAAGTTGAGGCGGAAGTCATGCGTATCGGGGCTTACGCCTCGAACCATCCAGCGAAGCCTACGATTTTTTCGCATGAGGCGTACCGAGCATGTACCGCTCAGTATGAGGCACCGCCTCGAAATTTTTTCTTCGGTATATATGTAAATACGACGCAGCCGATTCGTGTTCGTGTATTCGCGTATAGGATTAGGGCTTCCTGTGAGAATTGAAATGCGAACTAGAGGCGAATCTGTAAGGGAAAGAGACGAAGCCATGAGGGAAGGAGACGAAGCCGTGAGTGTAGGAGACGAAGTCGAAAGGAGACGACGTAGGGGAAGAATCTAAGCCGAAGTTGTGAGTGCAGGAAACGTTCAGGCATCGGTTAGGTCGGAAGAGCAGGTACACAGTGTTGTGGCCTTGATTTTGACGTGCAGTAACAAAGCTTGAATATCTCCTGATTCGGCTTTCTTTCATTCGTCCGCTCAGTACATGCTCGGTACCGAGCAGGTATAAGCTTGGTACCGAGCAAGTATAAGCTCGGTACTGCTCAGTACATGCTCGATACCACTCAGTACATGCTCGATACCGCTCAGTACATGCTCGGTACTGCTAGGTACATGCTCGGTACCGAGCCAGTATCGCTCGGTACCGAGCAAGTACACGCTCGGTACCGAGCGGTACATGCTCGGTACTTAGCGGTACATGCTCGGTACCGAGCAAATACACGCTCAGTACTGAGCGGTACATGCTCGGTACTGAGCGGTACATGCTCGGTCGAACCCCTCCAGGGGGCAGCGCCCCCTTGGACCCCCTGCAGACTGGTATATTTTTGTATTCATGTTGTTTTATTATTGGTAGTACAAATAATTATTAAAATATGTCTTATTGTTAGCATGACTAGTGGCACAAGGAAAGATCCTGCATGGAAATATGGAACTCAAGTTGAAGTGTCAGACGAAGGTGCAAAGAAGGGATATGTTTACATTAAATGTAATTTCTGTGAGAAACACATAACTGGTGGGGTCAAGAGATTGAAGGATCATCTAGCCTGCACTCATGTCAATGTGGGACCATGTGCAAAAGTTCCTGATGAGGTAAAAAAGGAATGTACAAATTATTTAAAGAAGTTTTTCACCACAAAGGAAGTCACACAAAGAAATATGGAAGAGATGATAAGAAACTCTTCTTACTATGGATCACAGCATGAAGGTTCCAGTACTGGAAGCCATCTAGTTTCTTCTGACTGAGGTAGTCTGGGGGCCCATGAATAGATTTATGCTAAATATTGATAACGAGGAAAACATAAATACTCAGGATATTCAGCCTCCTACAGCTACAAAAGAACTCGGGAACAGAGTTTGTTTAGATATCGCCAGATTCATCTATGAAAATGCAATTCCATTTAATGTTGTTAGTAGTCCGTCGTAGATCAATATGCTACGATCTGTTGGAAGCTATGGAAGATGATTACAACTTCCAAGCATGTATGAGCATGAGTCTGCTTTGGGTCTTGATCCTAAGGGGATGTTTTATTTTTAAGTGAGTTTATTTTAAGTCTTGTATTTCAGTAATATTATCTTAAAATAAATCTTCAAATTCATAGTTGACATAATATTTTGTTATTTTTTGTCATTATTTAAAATTTTAAATTAATTTATTTTAATCGTTTTGAGGCTTACGCCTCGAGGCTTACGCCTTGCCTCGCTTAGAAAAAAAGCCTCGATTCCCGATTTCGCCTTTTAAAACCTTGGTTTTGTTTATTACATTTGAGGTGACCATTCGTGGTTGTTCTTAGGGTTATTATTGTTTAAGTGCTTTGAATATTTCTTTCCTACGTGATTTCCTAATCAGTTTCTATCGTTTATTTTTACGAAGTTAATTTTTGTTTGTGTTTATGTTATTGAAAGCAAGTTGTTTTTTTAATCGAGTGCCTAAGTGTTCTCTTAAAAAATTTAGGATTTTAGGTTGTAGCAATCAAGCCTACTGTGTGATTGAAATTCCCCCCTAAACTTAAGGGAAAATTTTATAAGATAGTGGTGAGACCTTCCAATGCTTTATAGCACAAAATGTTAACCATTAAAAGAGAAGCATAGAATTAAAATTAAATGTTATAGATAAGAGGACGCTTAGGCAAATGAGTGGCTTTAGTCTAGGAGACAGAATGCGAAATGAGTACATAGATGAAAAAGTTTGAGTAGCTCCAGTGGCAGATAAGATTAGAGAGAGTCGCCTTAAATGGTTTGGTCTCATAAAGCGTCCGCTTTCTGATGACCCGATTAGGAGAGTAAATGTATCAAACTTTAGACTATTTTAAGAAAGGTAGATGTAAACCTAAAAAAGACTTTGCTGGAAATTATTAAAAATGATCTTTTTTACTAGATTTAAATGAGAATTTTACTTTTAATATGACACAATGGAGTAAAAGGATCATGTTGTCGGCCTCGCATAGTGAGATAAAGATTTGATATTGTTGTTATTTGAGTTTTATTATATTCATTCTAATAAGTGATAAAATGTTCCGCTCTTTTCTTAAATAAAGTATTAATAATTATAAAATTATAAACTAGAGAAAAATTTAACATGGTTCTACAACCTTCATTAGTTGCTCCAAACTCATATCCACCATGAATGTTTTTAAAATCTTTTACCACTCTACTAACATGTTCATTTAAATCTTCTTTAATAAAAAACTTTTTTTAAGAGGTATCCTTTGTTTTAATTTTTCTAAGTCATTCTAAAATTATATTTTTGAATAAATATTCAAACCTCATTGAGGAGCATAAACATTTGTAACATTAATAACCTTAGCATCAATAATAATATATAAAGCTATAATTTTATTGCTAATTCTACTAATTTCGATAATATTATCTTACAAACTTTTATTTATAATCACACCTGCACAATTTCTAGTATAACCTTCTATCACTCTCCCAACAGGCCATTGAAGAGATATATTGCTTAAAAAATGGCTAACATAGAAATAGCTAAATGCTAAAATGTTTGGATTGGCAAATGGAAGAAGAGATGTTGGGAGTACTAAGAGTAAAGAATGATTGCATGGTTAAGTGAGAGAGAAGTCAATGCAATAATTCCAAAGGCTCATTTGGTTTCTTGGAGTTTTCCAACATATTTTGGGGAAAAAAACTATAAATTAATAGATTTAATTAATTGGATGAATGTAATTAGAAATCAATATTACTTTAAACTCAACAAATAGCTTCAAAAAGCCTCAAAAGTAATTATTGTACTTTCACATGCAAAATGACTGAAATGAAAACAGCATTTTCTAAAACATGTCAGTCTACAAGCAACCAAACGAGTCCAAAACGAACAAAAATACTATCTGACTGCTTTAAGATTACATTTACAAATTTCATGCAAGACATTGAAAAGTAAGCAAAAAAGGTGAACGAAATCAAAACAAGGATTAGTTAAAAAAATCATTAAAACGCAAAATCACAGTAAACAATGGGATGCGTAACTTACATATTTTTTTCATTGTTAAAAGTCCTGAATCTGTCTTGGCACACTTCACTCGGAAAAAAAAAAAGGGAAGTGCGTAATTTCTTACCATTCTTCTGTCTATCATTGAGCACCCATCTGCGCAGAGTAAAGTTGGGAATGTGTCAAATCCCTCTGATAAACACAAAGTTAATATAAGCTTCATGCCCTTCTGACATTCCGGAGTTTCAGCTAGAGAGAGATCACCGGTGGACTTTGTATAGGCACGCAACAGAATAATCCACCAAAATCCAGAGTCAACTGGTGCAACTCTACCTATTGCACTCTCACCAAAGTCAGCAACTATAGTGTCAACTTCCCTATGAGGATCATGAAGAACCTTGAAGCTTGCTGGCATGACACCTGCCCCAAGTTGGAAACGGTCAACTCGCTTTTCCCAACCTTGGAGAAGGAGAGTTTTAAGGAGAAAATTTTTAACTATTTCCGGTTCGCCATTAATTAAAAATGCTAGTGCGCTTGGCACAAAATCACGAACAAACACCTGGAGAAGAAGTGAATCACATTTTAGGATAAGTGATAAGCACGAGAAGAACAACTTTTAGCTTAATTTTTCGGATAAAGAATATTTGAGAACAACTTTTTTACTTAGTTTTTGGAAAAAGAGTATTTAATAAACAGCTAAACCAAATTATTTTTTTTCTCCTTTCACTCATCTAACAAGTCCTGGGGATGCTTGGTATTCTATTTTAGGCAGTATTTAAGCAAGATTTAACATAAAAAATCCTGCCAAACAAAGTTTTGGAATATTAATTTCTATTGTTTGATAAATTTAATTTCAGCTTAGTTATTAATTAGATCCAATGTTTATTAATTCCATCTTTCATGGGATTTAAAAGATTTAAAGATTTTTTTATCTTACAAATCTTAGATCTTAATATAAATTATTACATAATTTATCAAAACTAATAAAATTTGACATTTATCATGTCAAATAATTTTCGATTTTAAAAACCTGCAATTTTAATTGAGTCCGGATTCATAGAATTTACCAAATCCTATTTTATTAAATTCTGCTCAGCCAAACAAACCCCAAAATCGCAAATCATTTCCCGACTTCAAGGTCACCTACAAGGAATAAATAAATAAAGAGAAAAGGTTTGTGAGCTAGAATCTATTTCAAACCTGATCATAATTTAGGACCTCCTCAGAGGCATGATCCACAGCAGCGATTGTTCCCACCGGCTGGCCACGGAAATATACCAACGAGCGTCGAAGAGCCTCCCAAGCCTCCGCAATCGTAGGGTGTGTTTCAAACGAGTTCCTCGCCGACCACGCCGGTGTATTTAAGCCGGACCTTATCCCCCCGGGGGAGTACAGGCTCTCAAAGCCATCAATCGCTCGAATGTTTATAGAAAGCTCACTGAACGACCTCTCATCGAAGGACCTTTGTCGCTCTATATTCAGCTTCGGCTTGTCAAGAAGCCGCGCGAGGTCCAGATCGTCGTCCTCGTCCGCCATCGAGCAGCGTGATGCCACTTTTCTGATGCATGAGGTCCCTTCCATGCCGCAGCTACTGCTACCTCACTGTATTATTAGATATGTACTCAACTTTTCGGAATAGATCATAATTTGTAGTATCTGGAATCGAATATCGCATATTTTAATCTGAATCAGTTATAAGAAGCAATTTTTAGCCATCGGTAGCAGGAGAGGAGGTCTGAGATTGATGGGACAGTGAAACTGAGTGGAATCAGAGGACGATCTCGGCTTCCTTTCTACGAAGACGCTGGCGACCGGGTGTAGACCAATGGAGGAGAAGCCACAGCGTCGGTAGTCCGAGGCGACCAAATCCATTGTCAACTCTTCAAAAATAAGTAAAATATTTACACAAATACTATTATATTTCAGCTAAACTGTAAAAAGAGCTATTACTAAATTGAAATAAGTAAATTCAGCAAGTAATAATTACAATTTAAAAAGGTGCGAAAACAAAGAGAATTGACATATTTATTGAATGTGTCAAAATATTAGGGTATTCAAAATGCTTCACACATTTTGAAGCGTTTTAATAAATGGGCCGAATGATTTGACATATTTATTATCCATCTATCACTTACATATCTAAAAAAATATATAAGTTGTGGTGGAGGCATGCAAATTGAGTTTTGGTTGGGTCATGATGAAAGGGTTTGGCTGTCAATAGAAACAGCAGATTAATTTGGATAGTAACACAAGCAAAAAATCATATTCCTTGTTGATATGTCACCAAAAATTATTTTGATCGGACATGAATCCCGATGCAAATATGAATATGAAACTTCAAAAATTAAATTCAAAATCATCAAAACTACTGTCCTTTCGACCACCATTGCCCATTGAATACGATGCCTCCAACTACCATCGTCTGACTACGATTCTTCCGACCTCCATCGCCCTCCGACTGCGGTCCCTCTAACCATTGTCGCCCAACTACGATTCTTCTGACATTTGTCACTTGTCGACTATGATCCTTACGACCTCTATCACCCAGATACAATCCTACAAATTCAATAAACAAGTCAATACTATCTTAAGGACGACTCTCATGACATTGGATTCTTCTATCCATATAAAATGATATGATATATTTTTGTTATATTTAGCTGGCGTCTTTCCCTGAACAAGTCATCATTTGTAATAAATTACAAATACTGGTGGATTCTTTCAAACTATGCATGGCCGTGTAGTTTTTTTTTTCTTTTTCAAGATTTTTCATGTAAAAATCTTGGTGTCTCTTATGAATGTTGTACCCTCTAATTTATCTATTTGTGTGATGGATCTTCGTGCAAATCTAGGACGTTAAACTCTATATCTCTCTATTGTTACGAATTTTTTAGGCTGCAATAATTTGGCGTCGTCTGTGAGAAACATTTCTCGACTATGGGGCAACCTTTGCTACATCCTCGAAAGGTCGTTCATGTCAACCTCTTAGGCATGGTTTAAGTGAGGTCATCTTTCTACCACTATTTGTTATCAGGTTGAAAGGAAGCCCTCAAATATTGAGTTCAACTTCATTGCAAAAACAAATATGTATTGCTTTATATCCCCTCAATTATCAACCATTGTTACATCACTTTCATGGAAGTAAATTTTGCGGCAACCATTTTTCATAAAGCCAACAACGTGTAACCATTAGTTGGAGGTTGTAGGGAGAATACAAGCTCCATGCAATATTCTATAGACAAGATCATTGAGTTATCGAGCAGGGCGAGGAGGACAGTTTATATTGATTATAGTACCTTTGATAATTCAACTGATCGACACGCCCATATAGGAGGAGCACGAAGAGATATGGATCATTCTCAAGGGTTAATAAGGTCAGCATTAGATGCTCATTCATGCTTTCATGGAGAGCATAAACGAAGACAAGCATGGCAAATTCCACAGAGATCCATTGTCACTTTAAAGTACGTACACTCCTGTATAGAATCCCCAAGATATTTCAAATATATGGGCACTAGTGCTTATGACATGGCATCCACATATGATCTAGATTTTAACGTGGAAAAAAATAACGAAACAAAATATTATTTTTTTGTTTTATTATTTTTATAGGGAAGGCATATAACAAATTTTTTTATCCTTTTTATTTTTCTAAATTTTTTTATTCTTTTTTATCCAAAGACCGGATCTAAAACATTCATGGTGATTATGTAACACAATGATAATAATGTTAAAACCTAAATTTAAAATAAATGTGCGAGTAAGTAAATATTTTGAAAATAAATATGGAAAATAAAAGAATGCAAAGAAGATTTTTATAGTAGTATAGTCAACTTGACCTCCATGCACTCCTCGAAGTTCTCTTATGGTATTATACTAAATAATAGTGACCTTATTCAGCCCACACGACTAGGTGGAGAAGCTCTAACAAAATCACTTCCACCTCCTCGGTATGATGGAGAGCCAAAATCCCTTTCAATGCCCTTTCTTCAATGCTCTCTCAAGAAGAAACACTCCTCTGACTGTCAAATGACTCTTTCAAAGTCTTAATAATAGTTTAAATAATATGCTTCTAAAAATCTTAAATTTTTAATTCAGCCAATTCTATGCGTACATAACAATAGTGAAGGTTCATGAGGGTTGTTAAACCCTAAAGAACTAGTCCCGAGACTAACCAAGAGGGGGGTGAATTGGGTATTAAAAAAACTTCTTTCAACAAAAAGAAAAATCTCATTATTAAAACTTTTTCAACATATGAAAATAGATGATCAATACAACGTATTTATCAATCATAGATTTTCAACCAAATAGTTATATCTAATATAAATGTAAAAAATAAAGTACAAATAAAAAAAAAATTAGAGATAACATGCCAGATTTATAGTGGTTCGGTCCAACCTGAACTATGCCCACTCCTCGAGGTACCCTTCAAGTATTGCACTAAAACCTTTTAGTGTCTCTCCTTTTTCCCCCAAAGTAAGGTGGAGAAGCCCTTACAAAATTTTTCCACCAACCTGGTGCGACAAAGGACCAAAACTCCTTTCATAGGAAAAAACCTTGATTCCTTTTTCTCCCCCCAGGAGATGGTAGAGCACCACGAATTCCTTTCACCTTTCCTGGTGTGACAGAGTAGTCGGGTTCTTTGACACCAAAGAGATCTTCTTCTTCCCAAAACTTCCCTTGAGATGAACCTTGAATTTAATGGGACTAAAGCGCAAGCTTGCCGAAGCAACCGTGTGAAATCTCCTCCACACTCCCTTGAAACCCCCTCCAAGGATCTTCTCCCTCTCAAACTCCACCTTTCCTCCCAAACTCCACCTTTCCTCTTAAACTCCACCATTTTCTCTCTCCCTTTCAAGTTCTCTCTTCAAATTTTCTCAAGAAGAATAAAGACACATTAGCTACCAAAGACACTTACCAAGTGCCTTGAGAAAGCTTAAACATAGGCTTTAAAAAACCCTAAAAATTTAATTTTTTGTTAAAGATTGTTCAATATAATCGCAGGATCGTCTAGTATGATGTGCATAAATAGAGGGCTTCAGAAAACCCGAAAAACTTAATTCTGGTGCCTAATATCATCCTATACAATCACATGATCATCTAGTACAATGTGTAGAATTTGACCTGATAGTCCTGAACGATCTCCGAATAATCTAGTACGAACAGTTCAAATGTATATATATCGTCTCATATAATAATAGGGATCATCCTAGACTATTAGAAAAAAACATGGTATTTTATCTGGGATGATCAAGTATCGTCCCATATACCTCTCAGGTTGTCCAGTACGATCTTCATTGATCATCCAAGATGATCGTATTGAACAAATTAATTATAATTAATCCCCTAATCACATGATCAATTTAAGTTTAATTATTAAAGATCATCCAATACGATGTATATAATCCTGAATGATTAGAACAAAAAATAAAATTCAAAATATTACCTAAGTTATGATTGGTTGCTATTTTTTATGATTATAACTAATCATCCTAGATGATCTAAATCGGTCAGTACGATTAGTTAGATGAGCTTATCGTATAATACAATATAAATCATATAATATGATTAGTTCAAAAATTAAACTTCTGGTTTTAACTCAATCTCACTCCCCCTGAGTGTGTGTGTGCTTGGTGACCAAGCAGGCATATACCCTTACAAGACTTGACTCCAAAAATAAAAAATATATCAATGAATATTACAAAAAATTATTTCAGCATAACCTATTCTACCCACTCTTGAGCCTTGAGTCTTCGTTGGATAGTGCATGGCGTTCCTGAAAAGTTAATACACACACAAATAAAAATATATTCCAAATATAAGTAGACAACAGGATGTGAGCCATAATATTTGTTATCATGAGAAATGTTAACTCGTGAGCTCGAGTTACAACAGATAGGAGTACCATATAATATGATTGGTTCAACACTTTCATAGATCATCTAGTATGATTCATAATCGTATTGTACGATTAGTTCAAATGAAACATCGAATCATATAAGATGAATTAAGATTTTTCCAAAGAGTCGTCGAGTGATTTGTGTAGTACGACATATAATCGTCCAGTATGATATGTCATTAATACCGCTATAGGAAAATCCAGTATTATCGGCGGACAAAATTCGTCAGTAAGACATAAAATACGACGAAAAGTTTTGGTTTCCGACGCATTGTCGTTAGAATTTCATACACCAGTTTGGCGCGTGTCAAAAAATATCTTCTGACGTATATAAGTAGCCGGAAACCTTTCCGGCGCACTCTCCGACGTATTATCGGTGCAAAATGTGTTAGGAAAACTGCATTTTTACCTAATTATTCCGACGTTATATACGTCAGAATTTACGACGTACATATCCGACAGAAAAGACCGGCAGATACGACGCCGTAAGCTGCGCCGTAAATAAACCTGCGACTAGTTACTGGCACCTTATCCGCCGATTATACCGGCAGATAAAACGCCTTAATTGGCGCCATAACTAATGCTACGGCTTATTACCGACGTGTTTTTGCCGGTATTTCTGGCAAAAATAAAATGCCAGCAATGATACAGGGATTCGTTGTATCGTCATTTCCGGCGTCTTTTCGACGCCAAATCCGTCGGAAACCTATAAACCTACTCGGCATGAATCCAAATTGATTTTGAAAAATATTCGCTCTTTGTTTATCAACAAAAAAACATCTAATATGTGCATTCTCTAACAAATATCTAATAAGAAATAACATGAGCAAAAATCTTACAGTCGATGAAATCGGGAGGCGGCGGAAAACCGGGAGGCGGCCAAAATTAACAGTCGATTTTTGCGAAAAAAGTTTCCTTTCGCCGGCGACGAAGGCGGTGATCGTTGGCGACGTCCTGCGAACATCAAGAAGGCTCGGCGATGGCAATCTAGGGTG